ATAGGAAACTGGAAAGTTGCTTCCTAGGAATTAATTTTGACCCCATTTCTAGTTTCATGAACTTTAGCAACTTAAAGAAATTGCCTAATTTGATATAGTGAGTATAATAATATAGGTTTTGTGTTGATTTCTCTTTCACTCACATTACTACTTCAATGTTGAATGACTAAAACATCTAACATTGTTTTCAAGGATCCATTACTGTAGTTGCTATTTCCGATGTTCTGTGCAACTTAGTCATTTAGATGCATCATGACTCACTCCTCCACAAGCTACCCTTGGGGTGAGACAGGTTAGTAGCAACAAGTAAATTGAAAATTTTATGCTTAAGTGGGTTGTCAATGTAGACAGGTTCATGCTCTTTTGGCTTTATAGACTATAGAGAGTTCAGAAGGTTGTTTGGATGCTAGTCTTGTAAAGATAATAGGCTTTTCTAGTTTAATCCAAAGTTTGTTTGTTTCCATCACATTCAGATTTTTTCCATGTTCTGGTCACTGCTTTTGTCATTTTCCAAAGTTTAACATGACTTTTACAGTTCAGGCCATTGAAAATGACTGAGCCTTCAAAGGTCATTCATGTTCGTAATGTTTGGGCCATGAGATTTCTGAGGTAAAGTATCATAATATACCTGAATATTGAATCATAAATCTGTGTTTTTATTGAGTTTAAGCCAGAGTGCTGAGTGAAAATCTTGTATTGTTTAAACTGTCTGACTATTTCGTCGTGTCTATTAATTTTCTAATAGGTAAGGGATGAGCTTCGTAATGAAACTTTGCAGCTTGCTAGTAAGTTCCTAGCCAGTTTTGTCATGAAACTGTTTCTTTTAAAAATGCTATATACAGATGCATTTTAAACTCTCATCTTGTACAGGGGAAAATCTAGAAAAAGAACCAAGGATCATGGAGCTTAGAAATCAGGTCAGATGTTTAAAAAATTGTAGTAAATGTATACTAGACAAAGTTTTAACATTAAAGCATTGATTGTAGATGACTTTTGTGTTGTGTGGATTACAGTACAGAATAATTCGAACACCCCCTACTTAAACATAAATCATTTTGTAAAATGCATAGGTATCTAAAATAGTTCCCTCAAGAATACCGTGAGTTTGAAAGGTGATTGGTTTTGGTCAGAACATGAATATCCCTAACATGTATGGGTGCTTTTGATGGATGGTGGTGCATTTTAAGTTTAATTGATGAAATGTTTATCTCAGGTTGCTTATGATGATTTTGTTGCTGCTGGATCATTTGCAGTTGCAAGAGAGGAAAAGACTTCTAAGTTTGTTTTTCCAAGTATTGTTTATGTTTTCTGTATGATTTTTGCATTTTGAAATCTATCACGGTCTAATTTTGGTGAAGGTCTACACTTGATCAAAGTCATTGAAGAAGGTTGTGGATGCTTCATTGATCAAAGCCATTGAAGTAGTGCCGGATTTGAAGGCTTATTTGGGTGCAACATACTTAAGTAGTATCAATTTAGTATATATTTTCATGACTTTTTTTTTTTTATTTATGAACATGATCATAATTTTTGTTGTAAAGAATTTTGATGTTTAAATATATTTTCAATTTTCAATTTAGTGTGTCCATTAATTTGTTGATGACATATAATTTATTTACAACATATATAAATAAAATTTTGGTAATATAAAAATAATAAAAACATTCTATATGATTTAAGATTTTCCTACCAACAGTTGGAAGGAAAATTACAAAATATAATATGTGAGTTTTCTGTCCAACATTGGTCGGAATTTCCGACCAGCGCATATAGTTGGACGGAATTTTAGACCAACGCACATGGTTGGACGGAAATTCCCACGTTTTAAAAATGGTGGGATACTTGCCGGAATTTTCGTCCAATTTTTGTTTGTTGAACGCTATTTCCGACCAAAAATCATAGTTGGACGGAATTTCCCACGGAGGTTTTTTCGAACGTTCCTTTTGGTCGGTATGTTGGACGGAAACGTCATTTCCGACCAATATATCGCGTTTTCCGTTGGACGGAAAACGCGAGATTTTCAGCAGTGGGGGTCTGTTGGATTGAGGGCAAAGGTCATGTTGGGGCACTGACACTTACCCAGGCTATGCTTATAGAGCAACTTGATTTTTGCTTCTCCTTTGGTACAATATTGGCTCTCCTATCATGTCGGGGAAAATCAGGTCGAGAGCCTATGGTAGGAGGGACCACCCCACTCCACTTATATATATATAATTAAATAATATATATACAAGTGTAAATTAAAAATAATGTAACTTAATTGATAAGTCACATGATTGTTAGATATGTGATTTATAATGCATTTCTATTCAAATCATTTTACTTAATTAATTATGTTTTATATTTTATTATAAATATTTTTATCTCATTTGAAGTATTTAAATTTCTGGCCCATCAAAAAAAGGTTATTCGTATTGTTTTTATCTATGAAGACATTGGTGTGGTTGATGGATATATTATATTGTAAATAGCTCCAGAATGTAGACCAGTGGTCCGAGAACTCGTGACCCATAATGGTAGACTTTGACTTAGTCTCAAGGCCCATCATATCGCATGGGCCTGGACGTAGTCATGTGACCACTTCGTGATTAGTTGAGTTCTTATTGTATAAATTGCCATTATCTTGATAATTGCAAAATCATGTCCAATTATAACAACAATATTCTTGTAATAAATTCAAGCATTAATCCACAATTATTGCCACATTTGTATCATCTTTATTATTTTATCATTTCTATCCATGTGAGCTTATTGATCCATATATAATTGCATATCATGGGTCAATTAGTTCCATCAGTGGGTATTTTATTATTTTACATTTAGAAAAACACAATTTTTTTCATCATTATTGTTGTGTATGTAAAAATTTTAAAAACATTAAATATTATTTCTAGTTATTTAATATTAATATTTTTTTCATTATGTAATTTAAATTTTAAGTATATATGAAAATATATGTTAACTTTAAATAGTTTTTTTTTTTTTTTTTTTTTTTTTTACACCTATGCCTCAGAACCTATAAAATGATAGGATGGCCTCTTACTCGAGAAGGTCCCTCACTTCCTCGAGGTGGATTTATTTGTCTTAAATGAGACTCGGGATATTCCTCGCCCACTTCATGGCATGAGACCTTTGGCTCATCTCATCCATTCCGCCTGCCTGTCCAGACGCTAAGCCCTTTCTCATTATCATCTACTGCCCTTTCTTTCCTCCCAGCTATTCACGCATGAATATCGTCAGTTTTTCTTCATAGTAACTTGATATATGATGTTTTTTTTCTTAATTGGTTTCTGATTACTGTATGTCAAGTGTAATTCCTTGTCATTTGAGAAGATTATTTTGGATATATATGGGATCGTGTTTAATCAAGTTGTGGCGTACATTACTATAATATTGATGAGTTAGTTGATGCTGTACCTACAAACTAGAAGATTATTTCTTGTGCTGAGTTTTGAAGTCATTTAGTTGGGATATTGGAGTTTGGAGTTTGGAAGATGTTTAGGAATTTAGTATCAGAATGAGCACGGCCGGCTCTCTTGGAAATTGTTTCATCCATTTTATTAGCTTCAATTATCGGCTCCATTATTGCATCCAAAATACTAAGTGAACTATTAGCATACAATTCAGGAGGGAAGTGTCATGATAATTTTAAAGTAACATTATCTATTAAATTCTGGTTGGATGAAATTTGAGTTCTAGTGTTATAATTGTTGGATATATCGTTGGAAAAACTGGATAGAATGATCGGATGTGGTGGAAGAACGAAAGGATACTGAGAGAAGATGTTTAGTACGAGTCGAGCGAAACACTCTTTCCTTACAACCTTATTTGCTACCTTTCATAAGTGCTAGGAGCGTTGTAGACTTGTAGCTTAGGTTTCCCATGATAAAAGGTACTACTACCGTTTAATTGTTTCACAAGTGCTAGGAGCGTTGTAGACTTGTAGCTTAGGTTTCCCATGATAAAAGGTACTGTAGCTTAGGTTTCCCATGATAAAAGGTACTACTACCGTTTAATTGTTTGAGCACCCAAATTTTGAACAGGCGAACTAGAGCAAAGCTTTGAGTTTTGAGAGCTGAAAATATAATTTCGTTGTGTGTAAAATTTAGAAAGACTCTCGTATAAATAGTGGTGCAAACTCATTTTCCAAACCAATGTGGGACAAAAGCTCATTCTTTTTCCCTTTATTTTTCCAATTCAAATGGGTTTACTTTGAGAATCAAGATCTCATTCATCCATTATCCTTTTTAAGCATACAATATATCAATTTCTTCGTCTCACTATGAAGAACCCGAATCCACTTTGACCCGATCCAAATTGAAAGTGGACCCCACTAATAATTGTACCACAAAATAGCTACTAAAAATGTCTTTTTTTTATTCCAATTTGTGCTATTTTTTCCAACAATAATATTATTACTAAATCAACTCTTCAAGGGCATTCAAAAAAAAAAAAAAAAAAAAAAACTCTTCAAGTAAATAAATAAATAAAGCTTTGTTAGCTAAGTAGTGGTATTTGTTGTGGTGTATTTCATTTTCATGCATTTTTTAACACGATGGTGCATTCATACATATCTGATTGTGCAGACTCTATTAAATATTTGCAGAAATAGATAATCATATATAGTAACTGATGTTTTCCAGTGGAGGAAGAAATTGGACTGATCCGCCATCTTCCTATTGAAAAGGCCGGGAGCTATGCCCTACTGTGATAAAGAAGATATGCAGGAGATATGGATGTTTGCTAGCTAGCATTTTCCAGAATCCACAGATCATGTTGATTTTATAGCTAGCTGCATGAGTAAACAATTCTGATCTTTACAATGCTTCATGTATAATCAGGTCACATGTTATATAATTGAAGCATGTGCTCTATCTCAATTAATAGTTGAATTATGCATTTACATGCTCAAACACACCCTTCATGTATGGAAGCCAGTGGGTTCCAAGCAATAGGGAATCATGGTTGGTTCTAATAATAAATTAAAACATGTGTTTTATCTCAACTAAAAGTCTAAACTGATAGTTGAATTGTACATTTATATTTATATATTATTATATATGTTGAATGGAGATCAGACAGCTGCCATGCCATGAGATGTGGGAATAGGAAGAAACGCCAACACAATTTGGCTGTAACTTAGAAACCTCATGCGATATGATCCTTGAGATATTTGACAAGAATCCATAAAAAGCCGTCCTAGTACATACTAAGAATCCATCCCCCTAGTTTACATCAAAACATAGGCCAAAAAAGGCATTAAAGATGCCATGCATTATATCCATCTTCTTCAACGTGGATCACTAGACATCCTTCCTAGGCCTTGTAATAAACGAAGTAGTCCCTTAGCTTCTTCCCCAGATTTTGCAAAAAACTTATATAAAAAGGGCTAATTTGTGGATACTAACGTTACACACTCAAACAATAAGGAAATGGGCAGTGTTGAGAAAGTGGTTGGGGTGAAGAAAGTGGAACAGGACCCGGAGACATGGGATCATAGCATGCCTTTGCCCGGAGATATAATCGAAGGCATAGCTGCTACTGCTGCTGATAGCTCATTTATGCAGGCCAAAGGGTGGTCTGAGCTAACGTTGGTAGTTGCTCGGATCATCGGGCGGGCTGATTGTGTTTGGTTGAAAGTTAGGAGAGGGGAGTGTAGTGTAAAGATCCCGGTTTGCATCGTTCAACAGAACCGTTCACATCTGCAGAAAAGGGTGAAGATCAGAGCAGCATGTGATGAGAAACATGTTGCTGTCTTATCTGAGTTAACTGTTGAAGAGTGCACAGAACTTCAAGGTAAGCCCCCATCCTCACTCCTCTCCCCCTAGCCTGCCTCATATGCATCCTGGTTTAAGACCGCTTGCAAAAGGCGCCAGACGCTAGTTCAAAGTTTGGGGACGCTTAATACCTAGGCAGTCGAGTAATTATATATATATATATATATATATATATATATATATATATATATATATATATATATATATTATGGCTAGAATTAGGAGAAAGGATCAAAAAGATCATTTTGTCCCTCTGATTTTAGACTAAGGGGGTGTTTGGTTGGATGGAAATTAAATTCCATGGAAAAGATTTTCTATGAAATGTAGGAAAATGTTGTTTTACATTGTTTGGTTGGATGGAAAATCTTTACCATGGGAATTTGACTTCCTAAAGGTGAAGGAAAAGAAAATCTGACCTAATTAAACATTGGTATTTTGTTTTCCAGATGAGTTGGAAAGAAAATATAGTAATATTGGAGTATTTTGCCCTCATCAAGATTTATTAATTACACATAAATTATTGTTAAGGGCATATTGGTCTTTATATTCATAATTCCTTACCATTTCAAACCCAACCAAACAATGAAATTCATATTCCCAGTAATTTCTTTTCTACCCACCAAACAATGGAATCTATTTTTTTGGTAAATTGTTTTCCATGGAATTTGAATTCCATTTCCCATTAAATATTTTCCATCAAACCAAACGGGTTGTAAATGTTAGATCAAATTTTTCCTGACAAATTTGGTCGGAATGACTAAAATTGACAAAAATTACATACTCAAGGTACTAAATTGACACTTATAAAAGTTAGGTGCTGAAATTAACAAAGCTTTTATAGTCGTGTGACCAAAATTGAAATTTTCTCTTTCTGCTATGTAAAGAGTTGATTGCAGAATGTTGTGTGAACATTGCAGAAATGAGCAGAAGGGTAGTGAATATGGAGTCTGCCAGGGGATTCAACCAGATGCCATTGCAATACGACTGGAGGTTGAAGGTGAGAACTTACCTACCCGATTCGCGTTCCACGGTGATTAGCTCCATTTTCTTCATGCCTCTCCCAGGTGAAGGCCGTATAGAACCCACCATTATCAGAACTATGGCCTGGTTCTCAGCAGCAGTCTCAGGAGGAATCCCCATTGTTTTTGTTAATATCCAGACTGAGCAAATCATCCCTTTGGTATTATATTCTTCTTTTCACAACTCATTCAATTCCCCATCTTATTTTAGCAACAAAATCCTAGTGGTTAACCCGAATCCTTTCGTTTTAATTTCCTCAAAAGGAGAGAAGAAATGCTACTAGGAAACAAAATTCCATTTCTGTATTCCAATTTGTTCAAGGTGTGAGGTTATGGTTCCTACCTGGTGTAGCAGAGGTCCCAATTGATCTTATACCCGAACCGGGAGAGCCTCGATTCGGTTTAGACATTAGGCGGACCGAAGAGGTACGAGTTTTTATTTTCATCGCAACAGCTAATTTACCAAACTTGACAACACGAGATATTCTGGTTACTTAATTGCCTGCAGGGCTTTTTTTGTGTGTATTCTGTAACGAGCGGGACAGCTGCGGGGCGGGCAGGGCTCGGGCAGCTGTTCGAGCAAGCGAACAGAACCGGGCACTTGCTGGTGATTTCGCGGTTAGAAGGGAAAAGCTTGATGCCATCAACAGTGAGCTCGGAAGGCCTGATATACTGCTGTGACAATGCAGAGATTAAGGAAACTCTAAGCTCAGCAATGGAGAGAATGGATGCTGTTCAGCTCCATTTCATGTCCTGGCCTAATCACAGAAGCCATTCTAGCCCTCCCCCTGCATTTGGGGCTGCAGCCCTTCTCCCTCCAAGTTGATATATCACGGTTGGAAATTATGGAATTTTCGACCACCTGAAAGTGATCTTAAATCAAGTCGAAAGCCTTGTTCCGACCACTTTTGGTATCCGAAAAAACCTTTGTTGCTATTTCCGATCACATTTTGCTTTCGACTTGATTTAAGATCACATTCAGGTGGTCGGAAATTTCATAATTTCCAGTAGTGTATGATGATACAAGTTTATACGTATATCATATCAAAGCAGTAGTGTATGTATAGAAGAATATAATAAAAGCCATTGGTTTTGCATGGTATATTGTTTGCAATAACCAACTTGAATTTTGCAGAGATTTCATGGGTCATATATGCAACATTCATGGTTGAGAATGTGAGGTTGTGTTTGTTAAATCCCGATTTGGTCTCTTGACTATTCACATTTCTTCAATTATATCTTGGACTTGGAAGTTATTAGACTATTGATTTTGGTTTTGTATTCAATTTGGTCATTCCTTAAGAAAACAGTTAAATTATAATAGTTGAAGGACTAATTATTTCAATAGTCAAGTCACCAAATTGGAAATTGTTTTCATAATTTTGATATGTATTGCATTTTTTTCTTTTATTAGTTTTGAATTTCCAAAATTGGAAAAATTATTTCCCCTTTATAACAAAAGTACTAGTTTTTTACGCGCATTGGATAATGCCCAATGTTTTTTTTTTTAAATAAGTACTTTAAAGTATATTAAGGTAGGATTATATTGAAATTGTTCATGCATAGATAATTGAAGGTTGAATTTGCGTATTTAAATAAGTAATTCTTCTCCCAAAGGTTGAGTCTCCAACCCGACAAAGCATTGTGGGAAGTTGTAAATCACGGTGACTCAATGGTTCAGCAGACAGGGCCAAATGCTGATACGCACAAGGAATCTGCCCACTTTGGACATAATTCCCGCACTGCCGCCGCCGAGGTTCAAACCTTGGTCTCTTCTCCCAAATACTACCCACTAAACCATTGAGCTAAGCCCGTGCGAGTTAAATAGGTAATTCTAAGTTTACAAATGCAAGATAATATAGTCAAGATTGATTATAATTATCAATAAAATAATTGTATAGGTATGGTTGAAACCAAATACAGGACATAAGGGAGAACAAATAAAAATTAGGGTATAAAATATTAAATTTATACTAATATTGTTTGAGGAGATTCCGACATTAGGATTTGTGGTTAAGTTCTATTATGGCCCGTTTGGTTCACGGAATAGGCCGGGAATGGCATAGCATTCCCAGTAATAGGTCTATTCTTTTGTTTAGTAACCATTTCTATTACCAGGAATAATATTCCTGGTAATAGCCTATTACCTCAAATAAGGTAATAGCTATTACTAGGGGCCCCCCTGGTATTAGCCTATTACTGAACGCTCAGGAATAGATTTTAGAATCTATTTCCTTTTTTACCCCTTTCTTTAACCTAATTTTTTTATCATATATATAAATTTATCCTATTTCACCACCACCGTCGTCGTCGCCGCCGCCATTACCATCGCCACTGCCGCCGCCACCACCACCATCGCCACAACCGTCACCGCCCCCACCACCACCGTCGCCCCCACCACTGCCACCGCCACCACCACCACTACCACCCCAGCACCACCACCACCACCACCACCATCACCACCACCGCCACCACCATCGTCGTCGTCGCCGCCACCACCATCGTCGTCGTCGCCGCCGCCACCACCACCACCACCACCATTGTCGCCGTCACCGCCACCACCACCACCGCCACCAGAACCACCACCGCCACCACCACCACCGCCACCAGAACCACCACCGCCACCACCACCACCGCCACCAGAACCACCACCGCCACCACCACCACCACCACCGCCACAACCGTCGCCGCCCCCACCACCACTGCCACCACAGCACCATCACCGCCGCCACCACCACCACCATCGCCACAACCGTCGCCGCCCCCACCACCACCGCCGCCCCCACCACTGCCACTGCCACCACCACCACTACCACCCCAGCACCACCACCACCATCGCCACCACCACCACCGCCACCACCACCACTACCACCCCAACACCACCGCCACCACCACCACCATCACATATTTTTATAAGGGTATTTATGTCTTTTAAAACATATTTCATTTCTATTCCTTAAATCAACCAAACACTGTAATATAATTCCTAAAGTCTATTCCTTATGCGAACCAAACAATAGAATACAATTCTTATTCTATTCCTGGCCTATTCCATTCCTTATGGAATAGCATTCCTATTACCTCAAAATTCATTCCGTGAACCAAACGTGCTGTTAAGACTTTAATATTAGAATTAGATTAATGGTGTAGTTATAATTCTATATTAGACTTTAATATTAGAATTAGACTAACGGTGAATTAACGGAAAAGTTAAATGGATAATCATATAATTAAGGATAAATTAGAAAATCTTAATTAAAAGAAAAAAATTAAAACCTGAACAATATGAATCATTCATTTGATTTAATAATTTGACGGTCATTTTTTCTACCCAATGTTAATAATTAAATAAATTCGCTGGTCAAATCCGCTAGTATAATCCGCTAACGCTAACCGCTAACTGCTGATTGTCAAACAAGGACATTGCGAGGTAGTTCTCACTTCAATTTATTGTGTGATTTGAATACTCTCTTTGTCACAAAATCTCTCAAGTAGTTAATATGGTTAGCTTTATTAATTATATTTTTTTAATTTTTTCAAATTATTTCCCCTTTATAACAAAAGTATAATGGTCTTTTTCTTTTGCGGATATTTCACTAGAAGGACCATTTGAGCGGGAAAAAAAATGATACTCGTAGATCAAGTATGCAAGTTTTGAAAGTTGTGAATCAACATTATTAGTGTCACAATACTTGTGAGACTAAAAATGTGAAAAATTCTAAGAAGAAAACGTGATCGTAAAAGAAAAGACCATTATACCCCTGCTATCAAGGAGAAATGATTTTTCGAGTGAAAATTTGACAGAGATTTCACTGAAATCAAGAAATTGATACTCGTAGACCAGTTATACAAGTTTTGAAATTTATGAATCAACTGGTTAGTGTCACAATACTAAAACTATATTAAAGAATTATATAATTCCAGCCATGGTCCTCCGACTATAGTGATTTTCCAAAATTAGTCCTCGACTTTTAATTTGGACACTTTAGGTCCCTTGACTTTCAATTTCTTTCCAATTGAGGTCCTTTCGTTAGAATACGGTTCATTAGACTTTAAATGAAGGGGTAAACTCGTCCTTTCACCTGCCTATGTATTATTCTTCGTATTTCTCCCTTCGTATTTCGCTGTTATACCTTGTAAACATCTCAATAATAGAGGAACGCACACACGAGTAGTCAGCAAATGGGGTACGACGAGGAACATTTTAAGGTTTCGACTAAGATTATCTTCATATATATCGCGTATACAATGGAGAAATACTAAGAATAATACATAGGCATGTGAAATGATGAGTTTACCCCTTCATTTAAAATTCAATTAACCATATTCTGACGAAAGGACTTCAATTGGAAAGAAATTGAAAGTCAAGGGACCTAAAGTGTCCAAATTAAAAATCAAGGATTAATTTTAGAAAATCAATATAGTCGGAGGACCATTGCTGGAATTAAATCTATTTGCTAATATAGAGTCAATATTAGAATTAGGGACTCAAAATTAAATACATAGTGATCAATCTTTCATTTCCACCTAAAAAACACCCCAAAACTCCGACAGAGTATCACCGTCACGTCCATGGCAGCTCTCGTCACCACCGCCGCTACCGACATGCCCCCAAACCTTCCTCGGCTAGTATCCGCCATAACCACTCTCCTGCAACGCTTAGACCCCAAAAACCTTAACCATTCTTCGCCGCCGGACACCTCAATTCTCAACAAATTTTCTCCATACTTAACGCACGACGTAGTCGTCGAAACCATCAACTCCCAAACGAACCCTTTCCATTCCCTCTTCTTCTTCAACTGGGCTTCAACCCTGAGCCCGAACCCAAACCAGTACTTCCACAACCACCACTGCTACATTGCCATCACTGACAAGCTGCTCTCCCGCCGCCTCTTTTCTTTGGCCACTAAACTTCTTGAGAGCCATCACAGGCTCTCTGATTTCATGGTGAGTAAGCTCATCAAGGCCCATGGCGATTTGGGCCACCTAAGGTGTGCGATCAAGCTTTTCCATGGTGTGAGGAAAAGAGAAAATGAGTGTTGTTTGTTTTCCTTCAATTCCCTGTTGGGAGTCTTTGTAAAGGCTAATAGAGTAGATTTGGTGTGGATTTTTTTGGGAAAGATGATAAAGAAGGGCGATATGCAGCCGGACATTTCCACGTGTACTATAATGATCAGTGGGTTCTGCAAAGCAGGCATGCTTGAGCATGCCCAGAAGGTGTTTGATGAAATGGGTGTGAATAAAAACGTGGTGACTTACAATACTATGGTTAATGGATTTTGCAAGAAGGGTTTAATGGAAAAAGCACAAACGATTGTTAATGAGATGGTTGATAGGGGGATAGTTTTGCCCAATGTTGTTACTTATTGTACCCTGATTGATGGGTATTGTAGGAAAGGACAGATTGTTGAGGCTATGAGGTGCTTCGATGAAATGGCGAGTAGGAATTGTGAGCCAAACATGTTGACTTACAGTGCATTGATTCATGGGTTGTGTTTGAATGGGAATGTCGATGAGGCAAGGAGAATGATGGCAAGGATGAGGCTGAGTGGATTTAGGGACGACATTGTGATGCATACAAGTTTGTTGAAGGGGTACTGTATTGCAGGAAGATCGAACGAGGCTATCAAGCATTTTAAAGAAATGGTTAGCCTTGGAATGATTCTTGACGAAAAAACATATGATGTTATTGTGAAGGAGTATTGCAAAACGAAGAGGCCAAATGACGCGATTGCTTTGATAAGTGAAATGAGAGCTCGAGGTGTCAATCCATGTGTATATACTCTTAATTATGTGCTTTCATGTCTTGTGGAACTAGCTGAGGCTGATAAAGCCATTCTTCTCATCAAACAGATGCCCCAACTGGGCTGCCACCCCAATTTCCTGTCATATAACATACTTATATCCAGCCTTGTGAAGTCTAAAGGAAGAATGCGAGAAGTTGAGATGCTTATGAACGACATGCTCGGGAATGGTCATGTCCCTGATGCCACCATGTACAGTTGCCTGGTTAAGGGGTATTGTGAGGATGGAAATGAGGAAATGGCAGTTCGGGTTTTAAGGGAAATGATGGATAAGCGATTGGTAATTAACCTCGAGTGCTTTGCAGTTTTCGCCAAGGAATTTTGTGCTAAAGGGAAGGTGTTTGAAGTTGAAAACCTTTTCCTGCAGATGCAAAGCAACTGTTCTATGACAGATCTAAATAGTTACCAGAAGATCTTAAATGAGCATTTATCACAGTTAGTGAACTAAATTCTTTGATCAGTTTAAGTCTGCCAGTTGATGTTATAAGATAATCCTTGGCTTCTTGATTCATGAGATTATCAGCTTCAGTCACTGCAAATTAAGCTAATTGCTTATGAGGAAACAGACATTTCATGTTTCTTTTTGGAAAGGAAGCCTGCAATATCTCCTTTTGTTAGCAATTACAACTTACAAGTCTGCAATCTGCAGGTCTGGTCAGCATTATCAAGTGAAAGCCCAAAGACATCAATTCACTTGTAGCCCAATTTAAAAGTCTAGTATTAACCCATCTAGTTTAAAAGTAGACAAATTGATTTTAAAAGCCTGCAATATCTCCTTCTTTTTTTTTGGATCAAGGGAAGGGGACCTAACTAGGCTAGTGTCTAGTCACAGTGGTGCAATTGTGGCACATAACGCTGCCTCTATCGCTCTCCAAGAGCATCAATATCAGTATGGGATGAGATCATTCACAGTTAAACAAAGAGAAGAAAGAAAAATGAAAAATGAAAAAAAAAAAAAAAAAAAAAAGCTGACAGCAACTGACGGAGGAGAAAGAAAAAAGGTTATCGCTCACGTGGTGGCCCCACAATTCTACCACCCTTTGCAGGAGAAATAACTCCACAAATAATTCCATTCAAGTCTTTTTGAGTGACAATAACCCCCAAATAACCTCAATTGTGGATGCTCTAAGAAGCTCCGAAGCTCATCAGGGGGTTCTGCGAACTCAATCCAAGCATATCTTTTAGTTGCAATCTTGGCAAGCTCATCGTCCACCTTGTTAAAATTCCGAGGAACATGTTTAATTTTGATCTTCCAAACCTTCCTCGTCCAATGAACACACTCCTTCAAGATAGCATCAGTTGATCCGTGAGGTGCAGGTCCCTCATCAATCCATCTCATGGCATCCTTCGAATCGCTCTGAATCCAAATCCTCCCGATGTCTTTATCCCATGCCCATTGATATCTTAGGACCATTTTACTATATTCAACGTGTTTTGATATTTTAATGGAGTTTTTAAAGTATCATTTATGTTGTTTAGATGCATGCTTACCCTATCCTCGAAATAGAATTTTTCAACTAATATAATTTTAAAAATGTTATTTTAAGTTTTATATTAAATTTTGTTAGGTTTCGTGCAAATAATAGTGTCCATCTAAATAAAATATTAAATCAATACTTGTCTAGTGAACCCATTATTTCCAAAGTTTGGTCCCTACTTTCAACAAATTCAAAGTCATTTTAATTAGAGCTTCAATTAAGCCTCTAAGTACCAAAGTCTTGAGGCTAATTAAAACTTAAGGTTAGGTGAAAATAAATTAGCTTCTGTCCTGGCCTCTATATACAATTAAAAGCATTCGTTAATATATCAATAATATGTTATTGTTAGAGTCTCCACACTATTTGGATTTTTGCATAATGTTTAAGAAGCCAAGTAGAAAAGAGAAGGAGAAAAAAAAAAATGTTCTCTTGACAAAAAATAAATAAATAAATAAAAAAGCACCTAACGCGCTCGGCTGAGCGCTCATTGTGCACGGAATGCGCACAGTGGCTCACCTTCCTTCGTTTTCTCTCTCTCCTGGGACCCAAAAAACCACTCATTTGTAGGAGTTAAAAAGACACACTCTCTCATCCTCTATCTTCCACATCACAATGAACTCTGCAAAAAATCAACAAAAAACTATTGGTATGGATGCTATAAGGATAATTTATTGTGGACATTATGGTCTATGGACATTGATTATGTAACGGTCGTAATAGTCGTAGATTTATGTTTACCATTATTGTCTTATGTTACAAATGTATATTCTATATTTTGTTATCATATTCACCTTTGAGATGATGAATAAGAATATATATCCCTTCTCTCCATATTCTCTCTCCATCTTCTCTTGTTATTGTTTGTAGTTCTCTCTTATTTTATAACAGTTATATTTTAATTATTTTTTATGTTGTAATCGTCATATCAAAGAAAAAATTATGAAGAAAAAATGACACTTTTAATCCATCACTTATGACCAAAATATAGATTTAGTCCTTTAATTATTTAAAATGTAAATTTAGTCTTTAAGTTATTATCAGAGTAATAAATTTGGTCTATTTGCCACCAATCTACCATATTGATATTAATTGAAGAACTAAATTTACATCACAAATAATTGTGAATTTGTGGGATTAATCTACATTTTGATTATAATTGAGAAACTAAAAGTGTCATTTTCTCTTTTATAAAAATTGAGTATATAACAAAAGCCAACTAGAACAAGAACATAATTTAACATAGATTTAATTATAGTTTTAGTGCTCCTCACTAGATCTAATCATTGGCTATTGAAAATGTGCCATATTTAGTTTTAAAATGTGTCATTTTTATTTAGTCGCAACAAGTTATTAAAAAAAAAAAAAAAAGATCACATTCTCAATAGTCGATTATCATATTTGGTCGATTTTGAACTCAATAATTAACAACAAAAAAAAAAATTAAAACAATAATTGAAAAACTAAAATTGAAATTAATCTTTCCGCATGCATTACAACTTTTATTTAGTGTTTTTCACTTCTATTTCTCAAATTCAAAATCGACTAGATTTCCTCACCAACTATTAAAAATGTATCGCATTGAACCCAAAAACACTTCAACCTTTTAATTTAGTCATATAACATATGATTAAGATAGAGTAACACATTACTAATCATTGATGGCCAAATTTATTTGATTTTAAAATCGATAACTAAAAAACACACACACAATAATCGTGAAACTAAAACTGGAATTCATCGTTCAACAAACATTACAACTATTGTTTTGCAATCAAGACAAAAATAGATATGAAAATATCATTAAAAGAAGCCATTTTAGTCCGTTGTGCTATTTCCTTAGAATCTTGGGGACTGATTAGCGTTTCACCAACTCATTAAAATATGACAAATTGTCCGCATGCATGAACTTAGTTCAATGATTCAGTAGACATTATTTGGGAGAAGAGATCAAGATTCAAACATCGGAGGCCGTCTTTTGTGTGCACCGACATTTGCCAATCGTTATGCTATGGACCCGTGTCCAGCATGCATGCTGGACACGGGTAACAGTGCCTAACAGCACTGTTATCTACTTTTTTTTTTTTTTTTTTTAAATTTCAGACCGCTTCGTTATAGGAGTATATGTTCATAATTTTATTACTATATGTTCATAATTGTAAGTTCATAATGTCAGAGCTCTATGTTCATAATTTCATAACTGTACATTCATAATTCCGTAACTGTACATTCATAATTCAATAACTGTAACTTCATAATTTTCGAAGCTCTATGTTCACAATTTTAGAGCTCTATGTTCATAATTTTATCACTATATGTTCATATTGTAAGTTTATAATGTCAGAGCTCTGTGTTCATAATTTCATAACGGTACATTCATAATTGCATAACTATACATTCATAATTGCATAATTGTACATTCATAATTCCGTAACTGTACATTCATAATGCAATAACTGTAAAATCATAATTTTCAAAGCTCGATGTTCACAATTTTAGAGCTCTATGTTCATAATTTTATCACTATATGTTCATAATTGTAAGTTCATAATGTCAGAGCTTTGTGTTCATAATTTTATAACTTAAATTCATAATTCCATAACTGTACATTCATAATGCCATAACTGTACATTCATAATCTCATAACTGTACATTCATAATGGCACAAACGAATAACGCAGTTAACGGCGTTAACGGCGAGACAACATCAAAATTTTTTTTTTTTAACTGAAATGACGCGTTTTCCCTAAAAACGACGTCGTTTTGGACTCGTGTCCACAATGCATTGTGGACACGAGTCCACTGCATAATTTGCCCCTGTCTGCTGAGTCATTGAGTTACAGTAATTTATATCCTCTCAAATGCTTTGTCAGGTCGGAATGTGGGGGCCTTGGAGTTGAGATTCAACATTTTTGGGAGAAGAAATTAAAATATGGGAAATAACGGCAAATTATGCTGTGCATCCGTATGCACTATGCATGGTGCATATGGATGCAAAAACGACGTCGTTTTAATAAAACGCGCATCTCCCCTTAAAAAAAAAATCAGGTTCGATTCCCAGCAATAACATATGAACTAAAATTCCATAATCATGAACTATAATTCCATAATCGATGAACTATAATTCCATAATTGTTGAACTATAATTCCATAATCTAATCTATGAACTAAAAATTCCAGAATGAATGAACTAAAATTCCATAATCTATAAACTAAAATTTCAGAATCGATGAACTACAATTCCATAATCGATGAACTATAATTCCATAATCTATGAGCTAAAATTCTAGAATGAATGAACAATATAATGTTGTTGCTGAGAATCGAACCTGAATTTTTTTTAAGGAAAAATGCACATTTTTTAATAAAACGACGTCGTTTTGGCATCCGTATGCACCATGCATCCGGATGCACAACATAACGATTGGGAAATAACGGCAATGGAAACTGTGGCGCACGCAATATTTTGTTGTTTAATTGCATGTCATTAGGCCCATAGTTGAAGCATCTTTTGAATTAAATATAATTTATTTTGCCACTAACGAAACATAATTATTTGTGCATTAGTATTAGGAGGGATTAGTTTAAGAGTTGTGTTGATCTGGCAGGCATAGAAAACAATTTAGAGGACGATTAAGATAATGACTTCCTTCCTAACCCACGCGTTTATACTGCTTCTTACTTGATAAGATCAAGTTTTTTTTTTTTTTTTTCCCTCAATTGCAATTTCTTTAAGAAACCACAAATTTATTAGGGAAATGAAGTGTTATTTTCGTGGCAAAAATGTTAATTTTACTTCTTGCCAACACCCTGTTAAATCCGTCGCACATGATTTTTTTACCGCAGTTTACCTCTTTTCAAGTAACTAGTATTTGTCCCGTGCGATGCACGAAAAATATGTTATAAAAATATACCCTATATGAGGTTTATTCATATATAAAATTTTTGTTATTTAATAATTATTATGTGTGAA